AATTTAGGGATCACAACCCCGAGTGGTGTGAACGGCGTCGAAGTGGTCGTCCTGCTGATGTACATGGTGGTGATCTAGAGAATGATGTGAGGCGTGGCAATGTAAGGCGTGGCAATGTAGGGCGTGGCAATGTAAGGCGTGACAATGTAGGGCGTGGCAATGTAGGGCGTGGCAATGTAGGGCGTGGCAATGTAGGGCGTGACAACACGTCTCACTAATCCAAACGAAGAAACACATGATAGTTATTTTTTTTTTCTTTTTAAATAAAATAATGGAAGCCCCTCCTTCTACCCCCCTCCTTTCTCCAAAGATGTACTTCCGGCAATAACAATAGCAAGCATTTTAAGCTTGTTTTTTTTTTTAAAACTGGTTTCTCTTTCTTGTCATATTTTCATTTGTCCTGTCTGCCGAGGAAGGCTCTTAGCCGAAAAGTTCTGATCTTATTGTCCTCTCTTTCGATTCAAGCTTCAACACACCTTGTTCTACTATTTCCTTCACACAGCTTGAACGCTGTCCTTGATTGGTTAGAAGGCGCGCCCAGGTTAACATCCCATGTTACAGATTCTAATCTTGACAAAGATTTTTTTTTAAAACTAGCATCAAAACGACTAGTGTGTTACTACGGTCGAATGACTGCGGGTCTTCTCCAATCCTCTAAATCCCCGATAGCTATTTTTAGACACTAATGGTGGCCGGACTTACATCTGTGATACTTCCAGCTTTTTTTGTGGTGTTTTTGTTTTTTTGTACATAAGAGTGCATGACGCATGGCGCCGATGACGTCATCACATTTTTTTTAATGTGGTGTAATTTTTAAAACACTTCTCTGTAATGATCTCATTCAGCTTTCCAAAATGTATATATTGATCTGTTATGTAAGCGTGTAAATAATTGAAGGTCAATCACCCCATTGGATCATCATTTTGATGACATTCTTCTTTTCTGTATATCATATATCAATGGATGAAAAGTGGAGATGAAAAATGCAAAAAATGTTCAATAACTAAGCCAATAGTCTAACAAATTGTTCATGCTAATTTGTGCATTTTTTTCAATTTTTTTATATTTTTTTTTTTTGGTTGGTTTGACCCGTGTCTCCGAATGTGTCAATCTTAACTTTTGATTAACCGTGACGTCACGCGAGTTGTAACAATTTTTTTTTTTTTTTAATTGAGAACTTCTGATAAAGATTGTTTCCAAGTCGACTGTGGTCATGACGTCATTTTCTATGTGGAACCAGGAGGAATTGGCTACATATCTACAAAAATGCATTTATGTAGGTGGAGGACTATAGGATTAGTTCTACATACATATTATGTTCTTGTAATGTGTGTGTTTAAACACCGTATGACTTTACTTATTCAATGAACCATAAAGTACTTCTATTTGCATACTCCCACAATTTTTTTTAGCTCTAAGCTAATTTCGAGATAACCGAATTGGGATACACGAGGAACGCTATATCTGGCCGGGGGATCCGAGGCACCAGCGAGGATCTCAAGATGACATATCGATAACAGGTGACGCTGAAGGAGGGGGGGACCGGTTTTGGTGATGGTGCATCATCCGGGTAACAATGTGGGGGGAGGGGGGATAGCCACCTGATAGTCTGCGGTTCAAATAAGGGATGGGATAATTTGATTGTATTATCCTGTGGAAATTGGATAACATTTCAAAAATGCATCCGGACAAGTATATATATTGTCATTTTTAAATAAAGCAGAGAACAATTTAATAAATCAATCAATTTTTGCGTTATCAAGATCTGATCATTTTACAATGAACATATTTTGAATGAATGTTTCACAATTTTAGAATAGAGACAAAACCAGCATGCGTCGTTGAACAGTCCCTGCAATGAACAGTGAGAATAGAGACAAAGCTAGCACGTGTCGTTGAACAGTCACTGCGATGAACAGTGAGAATAGAGACAAAACCAGCACGCGTCGTTGAACAGTCACTGCAATGAACAGTGAGAATAGAGACAAAACCAGCACGCGTCGTTGAACAGTCACTGCAATGAACAGTGAGAATAGAGACAAAACCAGCACGCGTCGTTGAACAGTCACTGCAATGAACAGTGAGAATAGAGACAAAACCAGCACGCGTCGTTGAACAGTCACTGCAATGAACAGTGAGAATAGAGACAAAACCAGCACGCGTCGTTGAACAGTCACTGCAATGAACAGTGAGAATAGAGACAAAACCAGCACGCGTCGTTGAACAGTCACTGCAATGAACAGTGAGAATAGAGACAAAACCAGCACGCGTCGTTGAACAGTCACTGCAATGAACAGTGAGAATAGAGACAAAACCAGCACGCGTCGTTGAACAGTCACTGCAATGAACAGTGAGAATAGAGACAAAACCAGCACGCGTCGTTGAACAGTCACTGCAATGAACAGTGAGAATAGAGACAAAACCAGNTAGTGTAGTTTTTTTTTTTTTTTTAGTGGTGGGGGGGGGAGGGGTGAGGGTTCTTAAATTCTTAACACGTTAATGATAATCACGGATTGACCCATGTCGAAAGCTATTTTTATAAATGCGTGACGTCATTTGAGTTTGTTATTTTTCCTTCTCATTTTATTTTGGAGTTGGTTTGGAGGCTATGCTAAGTGCTCAGATTTGTGGCCAAACGAATTCCAATGACGCAATTTCAGATGATTATTTCATGCTGTAAATATTGTTTGACTTTTAAGTGTTAAGATATGTATCTTAGATTATTTTTTTAATAGAATTATGCAGGGTACATAAATACTTATGAATTATTTATCCATGTTTTAGTCATCGGTAGGGGGGGGGAGTTCTTTTGTAGAAGGAAGCGAAAAGATTTTCAGCACCACCAGCAAATCCAGATGACACCCTGCGCATGTACACTGTTTAATTTATATTAGTTGTTTCCGGTAGACCTAATATTTCTTTTGTGTAGTCGGCCTTAAATAATTTTAAAGGATACTGCCTATATTGCCTAGATTGCATATATTGCCTATATAGCCTAGAATTAGATCTCATTTATCATTTAAATGTATTTTCATTGTGTAATTCTTGCCCAAAGTTTTGCTTGAAAATAATTTTTAAAATATATCTACTAGTTATGCCTATTTATGACATGAGTAGGAGGATTGTATAAATAACTCATTTCCGCCATGTGTGTTGGTTATTTAAAATTCAAAATAAAATTTGTTTCGTGACAAATTTCTTATTTTTTATTTTCATTTTAGTCTGTTGTCGATGTTTCTCGTATCGTGTGTGTGATGTGTGATGAAAGGGGGGCTAACGATGATCACTTTATTCTTAATGGGACGTAAATATTCTACTTAAAAAATATGAAAACAATAATTTAAGGTTACATAGCAGTTTAAAACAGCAGACAATCCAATATTTACAACAGTAGTCACAACAATAGTTACAACAATGGTTACAGCAATACTTACAAAAATAGTTATAACAATAGCTACAACAATAGCTACAACAATAGTTACAACAACTTTTACATTACAACAATGTTTATAGCAATAGTTACAACAATGGTTACAACAATGGTTACAACAATGGTTACAACAATGGTTACAACAATGGTTACGACAATGGTTACAACAATGGTTACAACAATGGTTACAACAATGGTTACAACAATGGTTACAACAATGGTTACAACAATGGTTACGACAATAGTTTCAACACTAGTTACAACACTAGTTACAACAATAGTTACAACAATAGTTACAACAACTTTTACATTACAATAATGGTTACAACAATGGTTACGACAATGGTTACAGCAAATGTTTTGTTTATAAAATAGAACAAGCAGGAATACAATTCTGTCAAGTAATTTGAATTTTCAAATAAAAATGTTTAAAAAAACCGAGTCTTGTACACAGAGCTTTGAGGCTAAGTGAAGAATGTGAAGGGAGTCAGCTCAGAGACACCTATGTGTCAACTCAAAGATAGGTCTGTGTCAGCTCAGAGACACCTATGTGTCAGCTCAGAGACACCTATGTGTCAGCTCAGAGACACCTATGTGTCAGCTCAGAGACACCTATGTGTCAACTCTGAGTGTATCAACTCAAAGACACATCTGTATCAACTCAAAGACACGTCTGTATCAACACAAAGACACGTCTGTGTCAACACTAAGATACGTCTATGTCAACTCAAAGACAAGTCTGTATCAACACTAAGATACGTCTGTGTCAACACAAAGACACGTCTGTATCAACACAAAGACACGTCTGTGTCAACTCAGAGACACGTCTGTATCAACACTAAGATACGTCTGTGTCAACTCAAAGACACGTCTGTATCAACACTAAGATACGTCTGTGTCAACTCAAAGACACGTCTGTGTCAACTCAAAGACACGTCTGTGTACACTCAAAGACACGTTTGTGTCAACTCAAAGAAACGTTCGTGTCAACTCAAAGACACATTCATGTCAACTCAAAGACACGTCTGTGTCAACTCAAAGACACATACGTGTCAACTCAAAGACACGTTAGTGTCAACTCAAAGACACGTTAGTGTCAACTCAAAGACACATTCGTGTCAACTCAAAGACACGTTCGTGTCAACTCAAAGACACGTCTGTGTCAAATGTTAATGAAGTGTCTATTCACCGAAAAGCGAAAGCAATTTAGCGGAGCAGTGCTTCTCATCCCATTTTTACACATGGCCTCTTTTAATATCGTATTACCTTTGTTGCCCCCTTCTTTGCTATTAATATTTTAAAAGATGTATTTTTTTGTTAAGTTCCATTATTCAAAATTTTCACGACAACCCTCGCATAAGGCAATTAGCAATCGACAAAACGATAGCTCAAGGTGAAGGCTGAATTCTTAATATCATGAAGGTCATTAAGAAAACATCCCTTTCCTCTCGTGGACATAAGGTGTAGATCAGAACAGGCCCACCAAACCATTTGGTGTAGATCAGAACAGGCCCACCAAACCATTTGGTGTAGATCAGAACAGGCCCACCAAACCATTTGGTGTAGATCAGAACAGGCCCACCAAACCATTTGGTGTAGATCAGAACAGGCCCACCAAACCATTTGGTGTAGATCAGAACAGGCCCACCAAACCATTTGGTGTAGTTTAGAACAGGTCAATCTGAGTTAGTTCAAGGATAAAGTTCGTATTCAAGGTCATGTGTACAGGTCAGAAACGTGTGCACGTTTAAATGGTGACCAACTCATGTACATTGATTTTTAACACATCTGTTGTCGAACAGAGGGAGTGGGGAAGGAAGGGAGGGTGGTTCAGCTCACTTCTGGTTCTCGTGGGAATGCATCTCGCGATGATAACGAAACAGATCACATGTCCGACAGTCTGAGAAAGGTCAGATATTGATAAACAAACATTTCAATGGCCAATAGGCTTATCACGTGACCTGTCTATTTTTAGTCCTAACTAACACGTTAAAAACATAAACTAAAGAAATAGACTACATTAAAACACACGAAGAGATGACCGCTATCGCCTGCAGACAAAACCAGGTGGTGCGGCGATGCAGGTGCCGCCGTCGAAGATTGAACCCGGCTTGCACGTTATGGGGAAGGCCATGCCGTTGATGCACTGATAGAACTGGTCGCACTTGGTCGGATGGGGGACGTAGTCCAGGTTAGCAGAGTAGAGGCAGGGGTCAAGCTCTGGGGGGACAGGTAAACATACAGTGAGTACCGCACTCAACTCATACAAGTGTGTGTGTGTAAGGAACGCAGTGTATGTCAGCTGAAATTATCTTACAACAAAAGACACATACATACATACATACATACATACATTTCGGCCACGCCTTCATCAGTACAACGAACAACATTGAAATTAAAGAATAACATTGACTTCCCTGCACCAATCATTCTGCAAGGTCCACATACCAATCCACGGACTCACCTACACCAATCATTGTGCAAGATCCACATACCAATCCACTGAGTCACCTGCACTAATCATTGTGCAAGGTCCACATACCAATCCACTGAGTCACCTGCACCACTCCACTAACTCACCTGCCGTCGTGGTCGGCTTTGTTTGAACTGTGGTTCCGTCGGTTGTCGTTACTGAGACGGGCGTGGTCTCATCTACGGAAACGGTTCGCTTGGAGAGTACGAGCGACTGGTCGTAGATCAGCATATCCCCAATGTCAAGGGCGTACATGTTGTCGATGAATATTCTGCAAATTTTCGAATCGAAGAAATGTAGCTCTGGATAAATGAACGAGAAAAAAAAAAAAAAAAAAAAAAAAAAAAAAAAAAAAAAATTTTAAAAAAAAAAAAAAAAAAGACTAAAAAAAAAAAAAAAAAAAAAAAAAAAAAAAAAAAAAAAAAAAAAGATATATGTCACTCACACACACACACACACACAGTCTTGTTATGTGTAATAAATTGTAATTCTCTCGGTGAAAGTAAAACAATGATGTTAGTTATAAGACTAGAAATAGCCCGCCAAACAATGTGGGGGGGGGGCGCAATGCGAGAACTTCTGATCTACTCAAGCAGCGGTTCTCCACCAGTGAGTCACGAACCCTTTGTGGGTCGAACACCCCTCTCGCCTGAGACCATCGGAAAACACATGTACCCTACAGGTATGAAGCAGCAACGAAAATAATTTTGTGGTGGGGGGGGGGTCGCCACAACAGGTGGAAACTGTATTAAAGGGTGGCGGCATTATGACGATTGAGAACCACTGTACTAAAGTAAATAAACAAACCATGGATTCAAGTAATTTAACGCTGTTTATCAGAATCCCAAATCGTCATAATTTCTTGGAATTTTTATTTTTGGGCGTCCATAGAATACAGTGCTACAGCTGTACATCATTGCTTAGAGAGTTATTGTTTGAGCCAGGTACTTTGATGTTTCAATGAGACAAGGGGATAGAACTGGCTCACCTGTTGGCCCTCTCCATTAGGATGGTGTAGATCTCCTGGTCCAAGTTTGGCCCCTGAAGTCCCGTGAAGCTCAGCTCTGCCGTGATGGTGAACGGATCCTTACTGGCAACAAGAAAATAGCCACCACTTTTATACTGTTTTATAGGGCTTGTCATTTAATGGCGGAAATCTATTAATAGAACTGATGTCACCATTACTGATCCTCCGGGTACTCAGCGGGGACAAAATGTCAACACTGTTCAGTATTACTATGTTAGCGAAGTGTCCCTGAAACTTGTTTACAACTCTATTTTACGAAATATTTTACACATTTTTTTTTTACTTCTGTTTTCTCAAATGCGACTTCATTGCGTGAACGTCATATGTAACAGTCACTCTAGATACAAGGATCGCCCGAACGATATGCTGAAACACACCATAAGCTGCCATGTTTTAAGCAATATTTGTCCGCGGATCTTCTAAAAATAGTACGCTATGACGTTTTCCGGTCTTAGAAATGACAAAGCCTATTGGGTTAATTTTGTATCATTAATTTATTCTTTCGTTTTATTCTGATCAAACAGGGGATATAACAACTTATAAATAAAAAATATAACAAGTTTTCTGGTTACATCCCTTGGAAATTCCTTTTTTTTTATATATATATATAAAATTCAACATAGAAATATCAAATCTGTTGATCACGCATATTTTTCTCAATGTTAAATATCGAGGAGAAGACAAAAGTCAGTAGATTAAAATGTACTGCAAGACTGAGATGTGTTCTGATTTGATGATGTGTTCCTATCGAAGCAACAACTATGCCAGGATTTTACCGTGATGTCTTCTTACAAAGTAAAGACAAATGAATGTATTCTGTTTGTAAAGACAAAAGATTGTATTGTGTTTGTAAAAACAAAAGATTGTATTGTGTTTGTAAAGACAAAAGATTGTATTGTGTTTGTAAAGACAAAGGATTGCATTGTGTTTGTAATGACAAAAGATTGCATTGTGTTTGTAAAGACAACAGATTGTATTGTGTTTGTAAAGACAAAAGCTTGTATTGTGTTTGTAAAGACAAAAGATTGTATTGTGATTGTAATGACAAAAGATTGTATTGTGATTGTAAAGACAAAGGATTGCATTGTGTTTGTAATGACAAAAGATTGCATTGTGTTTGTAAAGACAACAGATTGTATTGTGTTTGTAAAGACAAAAGCTTGTATTGTGTTTGTAAAGACAAAAGATTGTATTGTGATTGTAATGACAAAAGATTGTATTGTGATTGTAAAGACAAAAGATTGTTTTGTGTTTGTAAAGACAAAGGATTGCATTGTGTTTGTAATGGCAAAAGATTGCATTGTGTTTGTAAAGACAAATGATTGTATTGTGTTTGTAAAGACAAAAGATTGTATTGTGATTGTAAAGACAAAAGATTGTATTGTGATTGTAAAGAAAAAAGATTGTATTGTGTTTGTAAAGACAAAAGCTTGTATTGTGTTTGTAAAGACAAAAGATTGTATTGTGATTGTAAAGACAAAAGATTGTATTGTGATTGTAAAGACAAAAGATTGTATTGTGTTTGTAAAGACAAAAGACTGTATTGTGTTTGTAAAGACAAAAGATTGTATTGTGTTTGTAAAGACAAAAGATTGTATTGTGTTTGTAAAGACAAAAGCTTGTATTGTGTTTGTAAAGACAAAAGATTGTATTGCGATTGTAAAGACAAAAGATTGTATTGTGTTTGTAACGACAAAAGATTGCATTGTGTTTGTAAAGACAAAAGATTGTACTGTGTTTGTAAAGACAAAAGATTGTATTGTGTTTGTAAAGACAAAAGATTGTATTGTGTTTGTAAAGACAAAAGCTTGTATTGTGTTTGTAAAGACAAAAGATTGTATTGTGTTTGTAAAGACAAAAGCTTGTATGTTGTTTGTAAAGACAAAAGATTGTATGTTGTTTGTAAAGACAAAAGATTGTATGTTTTTTGTAAAGACAAAAGATTGTATGTTGTTTGTAAAGACAAAAGATTGTACTGTGTTTGTAAAGACAAAAGATTGTACTTTGTTTGTAAAGACAAAAGATTGTACTGTGTTTGTAAAGACAAAAGATTGTATTGTGTTTGTAAAGACAAAAGATTGCATTGTGTTTGTAAAGACAAAAGATTGTACTGTGTTTGTAAAGACAAAAGATTGTATTGTGTTTGTAAAGACAAAAGATTGTATTGTGTTTGTAAAGACAAAAGATTGTATTGTGTTTGTAAAGACAAAAGATTGTATGTTGTTTGTAAAGACAAAAGATTGTATGTTGTTTGTAAAGACAAAAGATTGTATTGTGTTTGTAAAGACAAAAGATTGTATGTTGTTTGTAAAGACAAAAGATTGTATGTTGTTTGTAAAGACAAAAGATTGTATGTTGTTTGTAAAGACAAAAGATTGTATTGTGTTTGTAAAGACAAAAGATTGTATGTTGTTTGTAAAGACAAAAGATTGTATTGTGTTTGTAAAGACAAAAGATTGCATTGTGTTTGTAAAGACAAAAGATTGTACTGTGTTTGTAAAGACAAAAGATTGTACTGTGTTTGTAAAGACAAAAGATTGTATTGTGTTTGTAAAGACAAAATATTGTATTGTGTTTGTAAAGACAAAAGCTTGTATGTTGTTTGTAAAGACAAAAGATTGTATGTTGTTTGTAAAGACAAAAGATTGTATTGTGTTTGTAAAGACAAAAGATTGTATGTTGTTTGTAAAGACAAAAGATTGTATTGTGTTTGTAAAGACAAAAGATTGTATGTTGTTTGTAAAGACAAAAGATTGTATGTTGTTTGTAAAGACAAAGGATTGTATTGTGTTTGTAAAGACAAAAGATTGTACTGTGTTTGTAAAGACAAAAGATTGTATTGTGTTTGTAAAGACAAAAGATTGTATTGTGTTTGTAAAGACAAAAGATTGTACTGTGTTTGTAAAGACAAAAGATTGTATTGTGTTTGTAAAGACAAAAGATTGTACTGTGTTTGTAAAGACAAAAGATTGTATGTTGTTTGTAAAGACAAAAGATTATATGTTGTTTGTAAAGACAAAAGATTGTATGTTGTTTGTAAAGACAAAAGATTGTATTGTGATTGTAAAGACAAAATATTGTACTGTGTTTGTAAAGACAAAAGATTGTATTGTGTTTGTAAAGACAAAAGTTTGTATGTTGTTTGTAAAGACAAAAGATTGTACTGTGTTTGTAAAGACAAAAGATTGTATGTTGTTTGTAAAGACAAAAGATTGTATGTTGTTTGTAAAGACAAAGGATTGTATTGTGTTTGTAAAGACAAAAGATTGTACTGTGTTTGTAAAGACAAAAGATTGTATTGTGTTTGTAAAGACAAAAGATTGTATTGTGTTTGTAAAGACAAAAGATTGTACTGTGTTTGTAAAGACAAAAGATTGTATTGTGTTTGTAAAGACAAAAGATTGTACTGTGTTTGTAAAGACAAAAGATTGTATGTTGTTTGTAAAGACAAAAGATTATATGTTGTTTGTAAAGACAAAGGATTGTATTGTGTTTGTAAAGACAAAAGATTGTACTGTGTTTTTAAAGACAAAAGATTGTATTGTGTTTGTAAAGACAAAAGATTGTACTGTGTTTGTAAAGACAAAAGATTGTACTGTGTTTGTAAAGACAAAAGATTGTATGTTGTTTGTAAAGACAAAAGATTATATGTTGTTTGTAAAGACAAAAGATTGTATGTTGTTTGTAAAGACAAAGGATTGTATTGTGTTTGTAAAGACAAAAGATTGTACTGTGTTTTTAAAGACAAAAGATTGTATTGTGTTTGTAAAGACAAAAGATTGTACTGTGTTTGTAAAGACAAAAGATTGTACTGTGTTTGTAAAGACAAAAGATTGTACTGTGTTTGTAAAGACAAAAGATTGTACTGTGTTTGTAAAGACAAAAGATTGTACTGTGTTTGTAAAGACAAAAGATTGTACTGTGTTTGTAAAGACAAAAGATTGTACTGTGTTTGTAAAGACAAAAGATTGTACTGTGTTTGTAAAGACAAAAGATTGTACTGTGTTTGTAAAGACAAAAGATTGTACTGTGTTTGTAAAGACAAAAGATTGTACTGTGTTTGTAAAGACAAAAGATTGTATTGTGTTTGTAAAGACAAAAGATTGTATTGTGTTTGTAAAGACAAAAGATTGTATTGTGTTTGTAAAGACAAAAGATTGTACTGTGTTTTTAAAGACAAAAGATTGTATTGTGTTTGTAAAGACAAAAGATTGTACTGTGTTTGTAAAGACAAAAGATTGTACTGTGTTTGTAAAGACAAAAGATTGTACTGTGTTTGTAAAGACAAAAGATTGTACTGTGTTTGTAAAGACAAAAGATTGTACTGTGTTTGTAAAGACAAAAGATTGTATGTTGTTTGTAAAGACAAAAGATTGTACTGTGTTTGTAAAGACAAAAGATTGTACTGTGTTTGTAAAGACAAAAGTTTGTACTGTGTTTGTAAAGACAAAAGATTGTACTGTGTTTGTAAAGACAAATGATTGTACTGTGTTTGTAAAGACAAAAGATTGTACTGTGTTTGTAAAGACAAAAGATTGTACTGTGTTTGTAAAGACAGAAACAAGACCTCACCGCTCGCCACAATATTTTGTTCAGTTAGTTGGGGAAAAAATAATTCAATTCAAAATTTGTTTACTTACCTGAAGTTGACATTGCTGCATTTGATATAATCTTTCTTCCACTCTGTGACCCATGCCGTGACCTAGATAGCAAAGAGACATTTGTGAGACTGTGCATTATGGCGTCACATTATCAACGCTGACTGCCTTGTGTGACACTGACATGACATGTGGATCAGTTGCAGGATCATATCAAAAGCAAACAAACTGTATCTACTGAATCAAATAATTTTATAGAATCGAGAAAAAAAACTCCTTTACACAACAAGTCGACGAGTGAAAGAATGTTCGTATTTAAAATGTCTTGTTCTTTGCATTTTCATATCTATGGATGACATCTGATAAGTTCGGTTACAGGGAGGGTGGGGGCATTTTCCGATAACGCATTTCGTTGTTAAAAATTTTACATATAATAAATGCGGGCTACAAATGACAGCCGGTAGCTAGGTAGATCTACTCACATCATTGCAGAACGGCTCCGACAGGAGTCGATACCTGGCACTCGCGTGGTCTTCCAGATCAGACGTCCAGCCTGGTTCTAAGACTTGCAGTGAGACCGTGATGACGGTGTACAGGACTGGGGATTGTTAAGACAGAGATAAGAGGACTTATCGAATGTGGCGGCTGGTTAAATCTGAATGTTTAAACAATGTGTCAAGGTCATCAAACCCGTCATGGCGACTGACCCTCTCGCCGACAGATGCATTGACGATTTGAGCTCTTAAGTTGTAACGAATTTGGTTTGAGCCAGAGTTTAAAAATGTTATTTTAAAAAAAATGTAATTTATTTACCAGAATGGTAAAAATAGATTTTTTTTTCATGATAAAATATTCAAAATTCAAATCAGAAAATATTTTTGCGATTTACTCAAATGATTTAATTAATGTACAAAGTAAAAAGAAAGAGAAGAAAATTGCTACATTCTAAAATTAAATAGATTGTAAATTCTTTTTTTAAAAATAAAATGTACATTATATAGAACTAATTTTTGTTTACTGTAATAGAGAAGAAAAAATGTCAAAATAATCATATCGAAGTGTGAAGAAAAGTGTTACATGAAAAATAAAGATGAGAACTGAGTCACGCGCTAAAAGACGAGACGAGACGAAATAAGACGAGATGAGACGAGATGAGACGAGATGAGACGAGACCACACGAGACGTACATGTTAAGATGAGATTCTTTTATGGATCAAACAAATAATTTAAAAAAAGCAAGACAAAAAAAGTTGTTAACAAGAAAGGACAACTCGATCAAGTCCAAGTCAACTACCTGTGGGTGTGGTCGTCACGAAGGGGTAAGGGTGGGTCGTGAAGCTCTCCAGCTTGAACAGCGAGGAGGTGGGCTCCATGTCCACCGCCACGTAGACGCCGCCCATGGGCAGGTGGTAGACGCCGTTCAGGTTGACCTGGTCGCCGTGGTAGGCGAAGATGTTGAACATACTGGACGGCCGGACCACGTCGGTGTCGGTGAGGGCGACACGGAAGTTGACTTCTCTGTTCGGACTGGACATGGACATGGACATGGACAGGAGAAGACGCGTTATGAATAAGTAATGAGGGAAATAATTATTTTTATTTATTTATTTATTTTTTTTGGAGCTGGGGGGGGGGGGGATTTCCCTCAACAACACCAAATTATAATGTATGCAAATATATGCAAATGCTGTCTTTTGAAAATAATTGATGAACAGGATAAAATAAAATAATGCATGTCGTTTATCTAAGATAAAATAGAATTTACGACATAGTTGAATCGGTCGAATGAATTGGGAAGGGCTGTGTAATGATTGAAAATTCAACCTTTGACCTCTGCGTGAACTGATGAGCAGTTGATTCCCCCCCCCCCCCCCCCACCCATTCCCCTCTAGTTGGCTTGAATGAGTCCCTTCCCTGCTGAAAGATGGCCTTGTATGTGATATATTTCAGCTATATTTGCCTGCGTACAAACTATTTCTAATTAAAGTATCTCTTTATATATATATATATATTATTTTTTTGCTTCNACGCATGTTTTATATTAATGATACTGAGGAAAGGGGGAAAAATGGCTGTCCTGCAGTGAGCGTCCGGCAGTGAGCGTCATGCGTGACGTCTCAACTCCTGTGTTAGGTGGGCTTTTTCTTCTTCTTTAGACTGCCATTTGTCTCAAAATACCCGGACCCGGTTAAACCCGGTGTAAACAACTGCACCCGGTTAAGCCGATGGGTTCAAGTGTTACAACAGCAACACACACAAAAAAGGAGTATTTGACTCATTTTCTATGAGATGCAAAGAAATCTACTGTCCTATCTCGCAGTGAGAGTGCGTTGCCTTCGTCGATCGTTTGTGTCAAGAAATAACCAACTACGACACGGTGCAGTAGACTTCGTAGCGCACTGTAGAAAATGAGAAGTAAAGTCTTTTTTTTAACACTTTCAACCACCGGGTATTTTCTCAAGATATCGGACATATATAAATGGAAAAAATAAAAACAAACTGCAACCACTTACGCCCTAGTTTGATCTCTTTCGGCGTAAGGCACATTTGCTAGCCAGGACTTACCCAAACTCGTCCACTACGCAGCCGTAGTAGCGCTTCCTCACGGCTCTCAGACCAAGGCTTTCAAAGATTTTATCAATCTGCAATCGTTTCAAGTGGAAATATTTTTTTTTTAAATTTTAAGGATAAGATAAATTCCAGAAATGAAACTTCATCAATAGCGAACTTGGAAAAATGAAACTTTACTAGGTTAAGACATAAAGTGTCTGTGCGTAGACGTATCGCTGCTTATCACGTATCATGTTCAGTCGAGGTAATGACTCTTTTTTTTTGTATCTGGTATCGGGTTCATGTTGAGGTAATGACTCGTGTTTAAGCTTACACTTACATCTTTACAGAACTTGTAGGCCGTCTCCTTAAAGGCCGGTGAGTTCTTGTCCAACAGCTCGGGCGTGTAGTTGCCCGGGTACATGTAGAATGTGTAGTTGTAGCTGATGGCGTCTGGAAGTAGACAATTTCAATCTTTACACATGTGTCAACAGCTTTAGGTAACAATTGAAACTTTACACGTGTGTCAACAGCTTTAGGTAATAATTGAATCTTTACACATGTGCCAACAGCTTTAGGTAACAATTGAATCTTTACACATGTGTCAACAGCTGCTGCTGATAAAAACATTAAGTGTCAAAAGAGACTGCCACCAGGTGGTCAAAATGATACACAAAGCCCGCGATTGAATCTTTTGGTACATGTCACAAGTCTCGTGTGGTGACTACAATCTTTCGGTACACGTCACAAGTCTCGTGTGGTGACTACAATCTTTCGGTACACGTCACAAGTCTCGTGTGTTGACTACAATCTTTCGGTACACGTCACAAGTCTCGTGTGGTGACTACAATCTTTCGGTACACGTTACAAGTCTCGTCTGGTTGACTACAATCTTTCGGTACACATCACAAGTCTCGTGTGGTGACTACAATCTTTCGGTACACGTCACAAGTCTCGTGTGGTGACTACAATCTTTCGGTACACGTCACAAGTCTCGTGTGGTGACTACAATCTTTCGGTACACGTCACAAGTCTCGTGTGGTGACTACAATCTTTCGGTACACGTTACAAGTCTCGTGTGGTGACTACAATGTGTTACGAAATCAATCGACCCAACATCAGTTTAAGTTCCCTTGAACTCAACGAAGATCGATATCTTTGTTACAATAAGTTCAATACCAAAAGATGTTTACCAACCCTTAAGAATTCGCAGACTCTCCCCAGGCTTTGTCTTCTCCCCCCCCCCACCCTTTCACACCGGTAAAACCCCCACCCCCATCCCCACCCCAAAGAAAATAAGTCTCGCTTCTCCATCCATCAGCAAAAAGTTATATAAGTTCCCTTGAACTCAACGAAGATCGATATCTTTGTTACAATAAGTTCAATACCAAAAGATGTTTACCAACCCTTAAGAATTCGCAGACTCTCCCCAGGCTTTGTCTTCCCCCCCCCCCCCACCCTTTCACACCGGTAAAACCCCCACCCCCATCCCCACCCCAAAGAAAATAAGTCTCGCTTCTCCATCCATCAGCAAAAAGTTATGATAAAGTAGAAACTCAAAAATATTTTTTTGTTATTTAGACCGCCATGTCGTCTTTCACAAGGTTTATCACACTTTTCAAGAATTTACTGCAGGCCTATAGTTCTATTTACCGTAGAGGCTGGGGCTGGTGGGTACTGTAGAGAACTCCACGGTGATGCTGTCCATCGCGATCAGCAGGTTGCCCACGAGCAGAGAGAACACTCCCTGGTACTGCTTCCTGATGGCGTTCTCGATGATCAAGCTGACCACCAGGTCTCTCACCTGCTCCCGGTCGGTGCCTTCGCCAAACTGGAGGCTGAAGTTGACCCTCTGTGGGTCGCCCCTGATCCCACCAGAGAAGCATTCATTTAAATACGTAAGATAAGAGGCAAAGCTGAAACGTTCTATATTGGTACTGAAATTGTCAAAGGATACATAACAACTGAGCGTAATTATTTTTATTGAGTTGGTTCATAAATATGACACCAAAGGCAGAGGCGCCACTTTGGGGTGCGGTGAGCATGGACCTACAGAGTAACTGATGAGTGGACCGGCGTAATACAAAATTGGTATATTAGGGTAGATATGATCCAACAGAGTTGGAGAACTACTGCTCAGTGGACCAACTTCATACATTATCTGTATGTTAGAGGAAATATGAACCTTCACAGTTGGAGAATCACTGCTCATGTGTTGAAACTGTATCACTTAACGGACCGGCAATTTCCTCTAATACAATGACTTAAAATATATTCCACTATTGTGTGAAAAGTTTCAAGTTTTATCCCACATTTGTTTACAGCTTTGAGAGTATTTGCAATTTTATTTGTTAATTACTTGAATCAATCCACAATTGCGTCATCAATCTTAGAAGAAGGAGTGGAACATGGTGCACATTGAAGCATATCGAGATAGACCAAATACACAGTCATATATATAAGGCAATAATCGAAATGTTTAACATACCCAAACACGTCTATCTGGCAACTCTTGTACGTGGGGAAATATTGTTTGTGATCGTCCAAGATTCTTTCAACCTTTAAAAAAAATTATAAATATCAGTTGAATTCAAAAATAATTAATGTTTTTAATATTTATTTGTAAGCTTTTTATTAATTTTTTAAAATTATTTTTATAAGAATCAATGGAGATATGATGACGACATAAAATATACATTGTCTGGGAACAAAAACATTAATGAACATGTTTTCTAAAAAATGGCAAGTGATTACGATACCGCCAGTAATCAGAATGACGACTTCAATGTGTGTATCGATACTTACATCATCACAGAATTTCTGCTGTATGTATTTAAAGGACTCCGAGCTTTTGTTATTAAGGTCATCGGTGTAGGTCAAGTTCAAGGTCTCAAAGGAGAGTCTAATGAAATACGAGGCTGGGGATTTTTCAAAGTATTGACATTACACATGACACATGACACATCGACACATCGACACATTCCCACATCGACACATCCCCACATTACACATCTACACTTACACTACATATCTACACATCTACACTTACATTACACATCTACACATCTACACTTACATTACACATCTACACATCTACACTTACATTACACATCTACACATCTACACTTACATTACACATCTACACATCTACACTTATATTACACATCTACACTTACATTACACATCTACACTTACATTACACATCTACACTTACATTACACATCTACACTTACACTACACATCTACATTGCACATCTACACTTGGACTGCACATCTACACTTGCACTGCACATCTACACTTGCACTGCACATCTACACTTGCACTGCACATCTACACTTGCACTGCACATCTACACTTGCACTGCACATCTACACTTGCACTGCACATCTACACTTGCACTGCACATCTACACTTGCACTGCACATCTACACTTGCACTGCACATCTACACTTGCACTGCACATCTACACTTGCACTGCACATCTACACTTGCACTGCACATCTACACTTGCACTGCACATCTACACTTGCACTGCACATCTACACTTGCACTGCACATCTACACTTGCACTGCACATCTACACTTGCACTGCACATCACACTTACATTACACATCACACTTACATTACACATCTACACTTACATTACACATCTACACTTATATTACACATCTACACTTATATTACACATCTACACTTATATTACACATCTACACTTACATTACACATCTACACTTACATTACACATCTACATTTTAAAAACACACTATTTAAAGATATTTCCATTTGTTTTTAAAGGAACTGATAAAGTGTTTTGATCGAAGTAATCAATCATGCAAACAAACAAATTGAAGGTCTGTTTCAAATGCTTAACATATGAAAAGAAGGATAGAGAGCGAGATAACATGGTGGTACGAGTCTCTACAGAAGATGACACTGGGCAGCTGAGACCAATAACTAAAGAAGCTAAAAGTAGTGCTGCTGTTAAAGCTGGTGTCAATGTCTTACCTTCTGTTGTGGTCGGTGTTGTGGTGGTCGTAGGTCTTGTCTTGGTTGTAGTGGTTGAGGTTGTCGTCGTTTTTCGTGTTGTCGTGGTGGGCTTTGGGGTGGTTGTCGGTTTTCTTGTCGTTGTAGTTGTTGTCGTTGTCGTCGTTGGTTTTGGAGTGGTTCTTTTTGTTGTTGTCGTCGTCGGTTTGGTTGTTGTAGTTGTAGATTTCGGTGTGGTAGTGGTTGTTGTTGTTGTGGTTGTCGGTGTGGTTTTAGTGGTTGTTGGTGTGGTTTTGGTTGTAGTTGTAGGTGTGGTGGTTGTTGATGTGGTTGTAGTTGTTGGTGTGGTTGTGGTGGTTGTAGGGGTGGTTGTAGTTGTTGTTGGTGTGGTGGTAGTTGTTGTTGGTGTGGTTGTAGTTGTTGTTGGTGTGGTTGTAGTGGTTGTTGGTGTGGTTGTAGTTGTTGGTGTGGTTGTAGTTGTTGTTGGTGTGGTTGTAGTGGTTGTTGGTGTGGTTGTAGTTGTTGGTGTGGTTGTAGTGGTTGGTGTGGTTGTTGTTGTGGTTGTGGTGGTTGTAGGAGTGGTTGTGGTAGTTGTTGGTGTGGTTGTTGGGGTGGTTGTCGTTGTTGTTGGTGTGGTTGTAGTTGTAACCGGGGTAGTCGGCGCTGGCGTTGTGGTTAGCTCAATGCTGGTTGGTGTTGACGATATTGTTGAGGTCATCCACGTTGAGCTGGTAACTGCGATTAAACAGGAAAGAGAAAAATGTTTGAATCAGATAAACGATATTAGTAAATGCATGCTATGACGTCATCAACTTTTGTGTACTTGAGTGTGCTATTTGTGTTTTTGTTAAGTTCGTATCTTCTGTCTCAAACAAGACATCTGTTGGAAATACTGTGTTTAAACAACTCCATACTTAAGACACATAAAACCAGGCAAGATCACTCGCTCAAATGAATTTAACACAATTGTTAAAACTTTGAATTCAAAATATTCTAACACTTTTAAGAAGCCATTTTAATTATATATATATATATATGTATATATATATATATATATATATATATGTTGGATTTTTTATATATTAATTTAACACATAAAAACAGGAAAGATCACTCGCTCAAATGAATTTAACACAATTGTTAAAACTTTAAATACAAAATATTTTAACACTTTTAAAAAGACATTTTAAATATATATATATATATATATATATATATATATATATATATATATATATGTTGGACTTTTCATAAATTAATTTGATTGCGGTATGCCGTGAATTTCAGGGTATCGCCTGGTTGTGCATGGTATGGCCTGGTTGTGCAGGGTATGGCCTGGTTGTGCAGGGAGAGAAAAATTTGATCGTGTGAACTGAAAAAAATATTCGATCAAATTTCCGTTCGACCAAACGTCCACCGATCAATTATCCTCGGACTAAATTTCTTTCAAACAAATTTCCGGTAACCCAACAATTACCCGTGCTTGAGGCTGCGTTGTCTATGATGAGATAGAGGTCGCCGACGTTCAGAGTTGTGTACCCTGACTTGGTTATGCGTGGTGGCTCCTGGGGGAAAGAGATCCGTTCATGATAATTGTGAGTTAGGATATGTCAATGTGATATAATTTCATGATAATTTATATGTACACTTGTGAGTTAGGATATGTCGATGTGGTATAATTTCATGATAATTTATATGTACAATTGTGAGTTAGGATATGTCAATGTGATATAATTTCATGATAAGTTCATCCGTACACTTGTGAGTTAGGATATGTCAATGTGACACTCACAAAATGGATGCGACAAAATTATCGCCAGAACAGATGAGCAATCGCTTTTTTTTTTTTTAAATTTTGTAGTCAAAATAAGATAAAAGCATAAAATCACACTATTTTTAAATCGATTGTTGTTCTTGAAGAGTGGGGGAGTCTTTCACAAACAACGACTAGGGGGTAAGAAGGGGAGAGGGAAAAATGTGTTCTTTGCACAGTAATCTTAGAGATTGTCATGTAATGACATTCTTTAAATATATGATTGTCATTTAAATTATTTATAACATTTATAAACAGGGTTGCCAAGCGAGGTTTCCGAGCTGGGTGGCCGAGATGGGTGGCCGGCCTGGGTGGCCGAGAGGTATAAACTGTCTCAAACCAAATAGCTGGTGGTCTGGAGTTCAATCCCCACCAAAGTCAGCATCCCGGGTGGATGGGACTTGTCAGCCATGGACGGCAGCGCATCTAAGAGAAGGCAAACTCTGAATTCGAACCAGGAGCCAGAATGATCAACAAAATGATCATGGGCCCTCAAATAGAAGAAGAACATCTATCATATATATCTATATATCTACATCTATAAAAGAATAGTTACCTGAAACAAGACGTTGACAGCCTGGTCGTGGATCTCCCTGAACATTGGCGTGTTGAAGACGAACTTGAAGTAGACTTTTTCTGGATATTCCTCACGGGGCCTTTGTCTGTGGGGGGTGTGGAATCTATTTAAATCTACAACATGACAACAACGAAAGCACCATCTACGACAACAACATCGACAAGAAAACCGCCTACTGCTCAAAATCCCCAATGCGAAAAACAAGGACAAAGTCAATCATTTAAAGACCAGCAACACTAGTAGGTAGGTCATTGAAATCCTGTGTTATACCAGAAATCAACTGAAGGGTTCAAGGGAAAAACCAGTGATGTCAGTTTTTCAAAATTTCTATGTTATCTCCCTTGTGGCTACATTCCATTTAATAGAATAATATGATACATTGGTCCAACTGAAAAAGCAGCGTAGTCAATAAATAAATACGTAGACATCTTGATATTTTCATACTTTTATGAGGAATTTTCAAACTTTAAATTCAATTTTCTCAAAACTCTCAAAACCTGACATCACGGCCTGACATCACGGCCTGACATCACGGCCTGACATCACGGCCTGACATCACGGCCTGACATCACGGCCTGACATCACGGCCTGACATCACGGCCTGACATCACGGCCTGACATCACGGCCTGACATCACGGCCTGACATCACGGCCTGACATCACGGCCTGACATCACGGCCTGACATCACGGCCTGACATCACGGCCTGACATCACGGCCTGACATCACTGGTTTTTCCCTTGAGCCCTTCAACTGTATTCAAACGAAAAGATTTAGCGATTCGAAAGATTACAACATATAATGTATGCTTTGGTACAGACTACAACATATAATGTATGCTTTGGTACAGACTACAACATATAATGTATGCTTTGGTACAGACTACAACATATAATGTATGCTTTGGTACAGACTACAACATATAATGTATGCTTTGGTACAGACTACAACATATAATGTATGCTTTGGTACAGACTACAACATATAATGTATGCTTTGGTACAGACTACAACATATAATGTATGCTTTGGTACAGACTACAACATATAATGTATGCTTTGGTACAGACTACAACATATAATGTATGCTTTGGTACAGACTACAACATATAATGTATGCTTTGGTACAGACTACAACATATAATGTATGCTTTGGTACAGACTACAACATTAAATTATACTATGGTACAGATTAACAACATAAAATGTATACTATGGTACAGACTACGACATAAAATGTATACTATGGTACAGACTAACATAAAATGTATACTTTGGTACAGACTACGACATAAAATGTATACTATGGTACAGACTACGACCTAAAATGTATACTATAGTTGAGACTACCAACATAAAACGTATACTATGGTACAGACTATGACATAAAATGTATACTATGGTACAGACTACCAACATAAAATGTATACTATGGTACAGTCTACGACATAAAATGTATACTATGGTACAGTCTACGACATAAAATGTATACTATGGTACAGACTTTGTTCACACCGTGTGAATGATACAGTATAAACATGCTACGTGAAAGCCTGAATAACGACAAAAGACAATGTCAAGGACGTTCTGAGTTTCGACTGAAAGAATCCATCCGCTAAAAAAAATAAAGACTGCAGAGAATTCCATCACAACTTTGTCTAGTACAGCGGTTCTCAACCTGTGGGTCGACGACCCCTTTGGGTCTAACTGTATTTAAGGGTCGCGGCATTAGGAAGTTTTGAGAATCACTGGAGTAGTAGATGTCCGAGGTTTCTATTTGGTTATTCACTTATTAAGAGAAATTAAGGTGGGATCGGTAAAAGGGAAGAAACTCATATATTCTTGCTTTTCCTGTTCTTCACTTAAGATTTATTCCCCATTTGTTTGTGTTTAAATGAACCAGGTGAATTTAAATCATGTTTAAATCATACTCACGTGAAAGCCTCAATAGAGCATGACGTGTACATGTCCTTGAGACTGCTCTGGGCGTAATATTTGTCCATCTGAAGTTTAAGAATAATTTTTTGGGGATTATTTACCTTTCAAAATAGTATACAGTTGTTTTGTTGTTTTTATTTTAAATTTTCAACCCTAAGACAAACTCAGTTTCGTACAATGCACGTGACTAGCCACAATTTGTGTTTGTCTGGAGTTTTCGTAAACAAACAAAAAACGTTTAAAAATTATACATTCAAACAGAGATTTCAAATTAAAGAATTCACAGGCAAAACAACACCAACCTTTGAGTTCCAGAGGTTCACAAATTGTCCCAATGGGGCCCATGTCATAAACTATCATAAGAACCGTTGCGTTGAAAGGTTGCTTTAAATTATGTTGGAAAAAGTGCTCCGAGAATCGATTAACTACTTAAAATAAGTTAACCTATCCTATTTTGTAGCTACTTACATATCTTTGTGTTATCCTACTTAGCATGTATTTCACATATTTCTAGTCATATCTTACTCAGCAGCCGCACATACATTATTTCTAGTCATATCTTACTTGAGACGTATGCTTACTTATGTGTAGTCATAGCTTACTTAGTATCCACACTTACATCCCTACAGAATCGCTCCTGGAGATACTCAAACCTGGCAGAGTTCTTGTTGGCGAGTTCGTTGGTGTAGTAGAAGTCCGCCAGTCCAAACTCGTAGGACAGCACAGACACCTCGTTGACGGCTGCCGGATGACAGATATGAAGGATTTCGGTAGGCGTATTTGAAATGATTGGATCTTAACTAATACTTGAGACCAGCAAGGTCTCAGGATACGATAAGAGCAAACATTATGCAGGGGCCAATATAACAAATATATATATAAATACTAGGGCTAAATCGGGTGCAGTTTTTTTTTTTGTTTTTTTTAACTGGAACCGGTTATGTTGAGAAAATACCCTGTGGGTCCGAGTGTTACAAGAAAAAAAGAGTTAACTTCTCATTATTTATAATATAAAACGAAATCTCCGGCCCAATGAAACTGTGAGAATGCATTGTCCTCGTCAAGCGTTCGTGTCAAGAAATCACCCACTGATAGCAAAAGGCAGTTGGCGGATCTCGGAATAGAGATGACGTTGTACAAAAACCAGTCGACAGAGAAGATAAAGACTTGGGGGAAAAAACAACAAGTCGCAGCGTAATGAAGATAGCGAACTATTTACATGAGTTCAGACGTCACGCGAGAAGCTCGCTGTGTGACAGGGGAGCTCAAACAATAAGAGCACCGAATAATAGATGCCTACCCTTAAGGGGAAACCAAATACACCCAAAGTTTAGTGCACCTTCATGAAGACTTGTGCACTTCTTACAATAAATATTTTTTTATAAAGAAAACATGTAAAGAATACTTACGCAACGATACAAAATTAGCAATTTAATTTGAATTCATAAAAAATAAAATAAATATTGATATTATTTTTCTATATATGTACCTTTCGTAATATTATAAATCAATAAGTTAGGGAATATTTTGTTTAATTCATAATATTAGGAGTTTTCACCAAAGTCTTCCAGGTCCACAAAGTGGGTGCTTGCGGGCCGCATGCGGCCCGCGAGACTTATGTTCTTCAGGCCTGTTATAGTACATCGAAGTTCCCCTGGTTCCCCAGTGTTATAGAATCTAAAACTGTTCCGAGCTCTTGTAACATTCCTTTCATTTTAAAAAATGTAACCTCCCCCCCCCCCAGGTGACCCAGCGTGGTTATCGAGTGCATTGCTCCTAATTTAGTTTTAAGAAAGTGGCAGAAGAAAATACTCAATTGTGTATACTTATTGAAGAGCTCGACATCGTGAGTGTGGCTACGGTGCTGGAGACGATAAAAGTAGTCGAATCCATGGCGATGGTTGTGGAGGTAATCGATGGCATGGTCATTGTTGGAGTGCTCATGGTATGCGACGGTAAAATGGTAGAGCTGATCTCGATTCGATACCTATGGGAAATAGTTTGAAGACATTGTTCTACAATTTTTTTACAAGCAGTTTCAAATCTAAAATAAACATTAAATTGTATTACGGTTTTTTTGGTACATTTTTTAAAAAATTAAAAAAATTATAGTAAATGATTTTTTTAAATAAGATTAATATCTGAAAATTTCCACTTGTCTCACCTGTCCATAATCAGGTACAGGTGACCAACGTCCAGCAGGTTCAGTCCAGGGGCGTACGCTTTCGGAGCTTTGTACTCCAGGAAGGTTCTCACCTGCCGGGAAAAGTCGCCGTGGAGTTTGGTCTCGAACAGCAAGGTGAAGGTCACGCCCGTGGGACTTGGGCTGAAGGATCAATTTTAAATTTTGAAACACATTTCATGAACACATATTATATGTTTGAGTGGATCAAATGATAATTGTATTGATAAGCAACGGGTCAGGAAACCTGCGGCTCGCGAGTCCCATGTGGCTTTCATATTTTAAAAAAAAAAAAAAGAAGTTTCCGAATTGTATGGTTTAAAAAGCAATAAAACATCGGGGGGTTGGGGGGGGGGGG